TCCTGCGCGTAGTTCAAAAAGGAAATATCTTCAGGTTCAGAAATGTTTTACAATGACCGGGTTCACCACACAGTCTTCTGTAGCTCCGAGTAAAGCATCAGGGCGCAAAAAATTTAAAGGTCTAGGAATCGAGTCCTCGTGATTCATCAGACTTTTCTTTCTCTCTCGCTCGTGACAGAGCATTTAAGCAGTATTGCCTTTTGCCTTTACCATCTTTTGATACAATGAATAAATAGGGAGAATCGGCTAATAATCACAACCTGTTTAACAGGTTTTGTGATTAGTTGTAAGTTGTTAGAAGTTTTCGATGATCACCCTCAGAACTTACATCTAGAACCCAAGCAAATGCAAAAGAAGGATGCATCCATGCAATCACTTGAAGTAAACGTTTTAATGTCCACAGATCTCCATCATATCTGTCCAGAAGGTCAATGTACTGAATCTATCAAACAAAAACAAAATAAAAAAATTTGAAAAACGGACTAGACACTATTGATGAATAACATGCACAAAACTAAGATGGTACGTCAGGCTGTCATAAAGTGCATTCCAACTGGGTGCCCTAAACTCAAAAATATCACAAAGAGCCAGCCAACAAGATCTTACAGTAAAATGTTTTATTTTATTTTAATTTATTTACCATGGTTCAACAAATACAAACAACTAATCAACATTATACAGTTATGAGGAAAGCAAAAATAAATTGGAGTGGCAGAAGAGAGGAACATGCCAGCTGTCAGGCTCAGGCTTAAGAAAACAATTGATTGAGCTGCAATTACAACTAGTTTTGCACCCAACTGGTGGCTAGAAGGGCACAATTATTTTTATCAACCAATCACTATTCCAAATTACTTCCAAAACTCAGTTTGAAAATTTCCAACAAACACAAAATGCTCAAAGCACACAATACAGAGCAGCAAGTAAGGTGGTAATAACAATAAATTATTACTTACCTTCACAGCCACCTCTCTTCCATCATGGGTGACTGCTCTGTGTACCTGTGCCAGACTTGCAGCAGCTATGGGGTTGCGATCCAATTTCAGAAATAAATCCTCAGCTTTCTTGCCAAAGTCCTCAAGAAATAACTCATCTACCTAGTAAGTAAAATTTTTTAACAGTTATTCAATATCAAGAGAAGCAAGTAATGTATTAATAACTGCTTGATGGATTCTGTTTTCCAGATCACCTTTTGCCAAATCACATGTGAAATTGTAGTCAACTCTAAGGCTTGCTTTGGAATAGTGTGATAGCCTGGGAAAG